CACTCCTTGTCACGAATTCGTAATAAGGTAGTGAGGACGGCATTAGTCTAAAAAATGAATCGTATCGGGTTCGTAATATTCTTGATCGTCCTGTTGCTGTTCGTTATTATTAATGAAATTAATATTTCCTTCCGTTAGTTGATTTGGTTCGTATTTGGTATTTCGTAGTTGCTAACTGCTGGTTCGGTATCCGCATAAAAATTTCTTTGCCTATTTTATTCGGTGAGTGGACTTGTTGTGCAGAAAGTGGTCGCTTCTGTGCATTGTAATTATTTTGGTTGGTATTCGGGTGGTTTTGGTAATTAAAATTTCTGGACTGTATAGATCTATCTACATCCATTGGTATGGGTGGTTTTTGAGGTAAATTGGGTCTATTATTATTATAACAGTTCGGTTGGTTACCAAATCCTGGAGCATTCGGCCGGAACCCTTGGTTATTTTGGGGATGATTATATCTATTATAGTTATAATTGTTAGGTGAAGCAGCCTGTTGTTGAGGGCGGTAATTTTGAGGTGCGATTTGTGGGTAGTGATTTAATGGTCGATTGAAGGTGTTTGTCCTTAGTCCAGGATTCTGCCTATATCCAGAGAAATATGTAAGCTCGGGATAAAAGGGCCTGTTGTGGTTAAATGTCATGTTCTGTCGAGGAGGTCGCGGCGGTGGATGGCTAGGCTTTTGCACATTATGTGCATGATGCATTCTGAAAGTCATATTTTCTAACTTTTGGCATAAATGCAACGCCTGCGGCAAGGATGTTGGTTCGCGTATGCTAAGGAGGCGGGGAAGGTCTCCATTAAGTCCGCGAATAAATGTATCCARGGCTTTTTCTCGATAAGTATGTGTGATACTTTTGCGAGATTCTTCGTTCATATCGAGACAAGCGATTTTATATAGTATCATTGAGAGGTGCTGATAAACCTTTTGGTAAAAAGTGGGAATATCATCGTGGCGCTGAGCTAGTGTTGTCAGTTCTTACTCGAGGGTACCGATGTATCGTTTGTCTGAGTAATGAAGCATCAGACATTTTTTAATTTGTGTCCAGTCCAGTGGAGTTCGATAGGACTCCAGGGCCGTATCGGCATCGCCGACAATCTTATGCCGTATGGTATGTAGGATTCCGAAGTATCTTGGGGTGTCCTGGAAGTTTTTGTAAACTTCTAGAATTCTGTCTACGGATTTACACCGTGAATTGAATTCTCCAGGACGTCCGGAAAATTCTCTTAGGCATTTGACCATGTCCGGTATTCTGTCAATTTCATTCACGTTAGTGGTATTCACWGTCATGCGATAGTCCCTATACTCTGGGTCTGGGTTGTTAGTCATGTGGTTCGCGACTTGTTGTGCTATTTCTCGTATAAATGCGTTACTCATAGGTACGGATTGGGAGGTAAAAGGTTCGGTATTTGGGTTTTCATTTAGTCTAATCTGGTTTAACTGGTGAACTAATTCTTCCTCCATTTTTTATATTATTTAAAAAAAAWTTTTTTTTTTGAAATTTACAATTAAGTAAAAATCGGGTTTTATAGTTTCCTTAATATTAATGAATTTTCTTTTCGATAAAATTTATAACTCGATTTACTTTTTGATTACGTTTTTTGTTTTTCACTAGAATTTTTCCCAATAAATATTATCGTCTAGGTAGCTGATTTCTTTAATATCAATATCTTGTTTTTAATAGAATTTATAAACAATATTTTCTTTTCGATTTCCGAAAAAATAATAGTTTTCTTTTCAATAGAATTTTACAATCAACATTCTCACTGCGGGAAGATTTCCGCTTTCTTTAGTTTTAATAACTTCGCACAATATAAATTTTTAAATAATTAGTATTTTAAAAATTGGAATTATTATRTTGTTGCAGTATATTTTGATTTCACAATGCTTAAATAATTTTTTTATGTTATTCYTTTCACAATCATTCACAATTACAAAGAGATATTAAGAATAAACTTACAATAAACTAATCATGTCCAGCGCTGGGGCTCTGAGTTGTTAAACGTTTCCAGATGATSCTTTTCCTGCTGTACTGGGGTCCTTAGACGTTATTATCGGTCAGTCCTCCTTGTCGCTAAGTATCCGCTCGCCTTTTTCTTATCCCGCGTAGGGTCCTACTTTTGCTGTTCAGACCTTTTTTACTTTCCACAAACTCGCGAAGCCGTACTTTTTGATTTTCGGGCTTTTATATTATTTATTACGGCATTCGCGAAACCTTACTTCTTGATTTTCAGGTTACTTACTTTACGACACGCTGGTCCCTCGGCTCGGGCGCCAGTTAAAAACTTTGTTATTTTTTATTTAAAAAATATTTTCCTGGAGCTATGCTCCTTTATTGAGTTACACTAAATAACTAAAATTTACAATTAATTATACTTAACACTAGACTTATGTTTGCCGCTGCAACGGGTATGAAGCTGCTGACACTGCGCTTCCCACAGGTTGCCACTATACGTGTTGCACTTTCAGCGATTTAGTGGTGTCATATTGCATTACTTTGTATCATATGATATTAATGCATCATATGATACTTTTTGAATTTATGGGGTGCTAACTTGTATATACTATATGAAATAGTTGAAATGCTCCCGCATGGTCAATAAAGATGTGTCTTATTGGGATCGGCAAAGTATCGCTTACGCGCATATTTGRCTTTTCCATCTTTAACTTTGTTTAATCAACATTTATCGTATGATCGTGTGTATGATTTTACATACCGTTTAATACTTGGAAACCAAAAGTACTTACCTAATCGGTGTAATGTTTTCTCTACTGTCGTCGTGACATGACTTAACTAAAGACTTACCATCTTATTGTTCTTACGGAATAAACGGTTGTTGTGCATCGAATAATTAGTTTTCATGTATTTAGTCGGTGCTTCATCTGTATTTATTTTCATGTTATTAATGTTGCTGATTTGTCTTAAACTCTCATATTGAAGTTGCACTCTATGTTTGCATACAAAGTCGAATTCCTGGCGTCGTAACTGCCATCTGGCAATGCGTGGTCTAAGTGGTGTATTAGCTTTAGTTGTTGCCACCGCATTACTATCAGTTCGTGCAATAAATGGAGCGGTCAATCAAAAGCCAAAATTTCCAGTTCATGTATGGATAATTCGCTTCGGCTGCTGTGATAGTTTACCGGCTTCCCACTATAGCCTTAGTAGAAACATAACCCTTGATAACCCTATGGATCTGCCATCAGTATACACTTCCTGACTTCTCGTCTGATCGAATAAATAATGACTGGTTGATTAGAAAGCTGGACTTATGACGTCTTGACTAATAACAGGTCCTAAGAACTTTGCCCTTCTCGTTATTAAAGCACATTTGCTTGGCTTTAACGTAACTGTTGGTCCCTAGCGGAAAAGCTTCAATAGATTTAATTTTCTCTCGATCTGGGCTTATAACGTCTTGACGCCGCCGTCATATCAAGGGTTGTGAAAAATATACTTCTAAGCTTTGACAATTACTCCTCTACTATTGGCATTAAGAACTGCTTCTTGATTGTAACTGCGATTAGTGCTAGGAAATCGACAAACATGCTGTTATCTCCATTTACATATATAATATCATCTAGTTCGACATCAGTCAAATGTTTTGTCAATGGTCTTGCAAAATTGCACGATGACAGAAAATGCAAAAATCCTATACCGAAATATGCAAGGTCAATAGGGCATCCATTGCAGAATCTAGTGATATATGAATGGCTGATTCGGCCAATTTATTGATAATAACCCTTGTGAATTGGCGCACATTCTGTGTTCATTCTTATTAAAAAACTCTAGCAAATATTTATAATTTAAGTAGAAATTATAAAACCTATTTAAAACTTGCCTTCTTCAACAATTTAAAAGCGTAATATGTCTTTATGCAAAATGACACCTAAAACAGGGTTGCAATTATGTTTTTGCATGCCATTGCACGAAAATAAACACGGGGTTTGGTCTGATATATTTTACAGCTGTTGCAAATAATTTTCTGCCTGTGTTGCACCAAGTGGAAAATATTTTCAACAATTTTGACATACATACATAGAGCTCTCGATTAGCAGAGTTTATTTCCATGCTTGAATCATTCAGATCGCTCGCGGTATGAATGGAAAACTCGCATCTTCTGCCTTTATCCGTGCTGCTTGATGATTCCTTTCACGGTTGCTCTTTGTTCTGAGGATGCACTTGCTTAATTTAGTTAAACTATATAATATACTTTTCTTTTAATTACCGGTATTACAAATTCTAGTCGCTGTTGTTTCTTGACGTTTTTGGTTATAATATAAGAATATTTTATATATTAATATATTGCATTTCACTCACTTTCGCCTCAACTGCAATGCGAATGCACATACGATGCTTGAGCATTACTTTTCACTACGCTTTCGTACGGATACATTCACACCAATTCATCTTACAGCTATGGTTTCAAACAACGGGAACAGCGGCGTTCATATTTAAATATATGTAAAAATATTAGAAAAATATATGTATATATAAAGTGTGGAACTATTTCGATCTTACGGCTGTTGTACAAAATTAAGCCAATTATATGTATATTTCTTAAAAAGTTTCTTTTTGTAACTGTAATTTTAATTCATTTATCTTCAGAAAGTTACTTATTCATATAGAAGCTAATTTATTGAAAGTATATGTTTGCTGTTATCAATTTATTTTTTGTATTCATTAGTGGAAATTCTTTTTTTCTTGAATTTTTACATAGAGTTCGCTATTGGGGAAATTTATCAATAACACCACACTATGACTCCTTAAATATTTCGAGATGTCTGTATACATGGTTTAGCTTTCAATACACGAGTATTAGCTCTGTTTGTGTTATTTTGTCTATAGCCGTAAGCATGTAAAAAAGAATTGGTTCTTTAGTCTCATGTGCTTATTTAAACAGAAGCAACACGTCTTACTTGGTTGTTATTAAAATACGCATAAAATTTTACGTTTATGTAGCTGCAGAAAATCTTTTAATAATCATTATCTTATCTGATATTTTTCTAGGAATTAACTTTGCAGCAGTTAATGCTGCATACGAGCCGGGTTTAGTTAAAAAATCGGGTGTGAGCTCTATACCAAGCTTGGTTCTAATTCTGGGTGGACACTGCTACATATATCGTGAAAATGTTTATACTCTGCCTAAAATTAAAGGTAAATTGATTAAGTAGTTGCGTTATTAAAAAATTATCTAAAATTAAAAAAATTATTGAGTTTTATGTTCCCTTCTTTAGGTAGCGTTGTGTTCTTTTTGTGTGAACTTTTTGTTATTAAGCTTTAGTTAAATAAAAGAATTGAGTTTACTTTTCAAAGTATTTATAACGTACACAACGTGCTTCAATCAATGATCCAAATTAAACTAAACACTAAATTTACAAAGTGAACGTCAAGTTAGCATAATAGAAATTATTATTGACGTTCACTTTGTAAATAATCATTAAATCAAAATGTTGTGTTTGCATTTCGTTTTGAAACCCTATAATTTCATATCTGAATTTTAACTAGAAATTTCAATTAAAAAGTAATTAATCTACTACTATGAGCTAATAAGAGTACGACTTTGTTCATAATATTGAAATTATTAGTATATTCTTCAAAATCTACGTCGAAGAATGAAGGCATCCAACATGTATAGAATAAGTACAAGGTTACGGCAAACCTTGGCATCATGAAAAAAACCCTACATCGTCATACCTAAAGTAGGACGAATTTGAGAAAAAAGATCATCAGCTATATAATTTTTTTCGTTCTTGGGTTTTTTAGTTTTTTAGATGTAAAACTTTTACACTTAATAATAATGATAGAAATTATTTTTAACTGCTTACAAGAAAATTGTCAGTTTACAGCTTTTCAAGATTAATATTTTAAGCAGTTTCAAAGATAAAATAACAGAAACATATTAAAAAGACCATGGTAACTAACCATTTTGAATCAACTTCGTCATCAATCATATGATTTCAAAGTGGTCGTAACCTTGTATTCTATGAACGTTGGACGTCATGGTTACTTTAATAGCACCAAAATGTTAACCCGTATTTTTCTATTTTAGAATTTATAAGAAAAAAAATGCCATATTCAATTATTCAGAGAATATATGACAATAATGTGGAAGATTTTTTGGGAGGTTGGATTGACAATAGAGTACGAGCTCTAATTTTGGAACCGAGAAATAAAACGAGACTTCGGTATTTAATAAGTGCATACTCGTTCCAGTACAGAGTTGCGTTTGGGTAAGTTGTTACCGCCGTCATTAAAAAATTAAAGAATAATTTTTTTATACTCTTACAATCAGTTGCTACAGATTATTATADATTTGTTCACCTGTACCTACTTATCACCTAAAACTAATCGATGTAGATATAGGGTAAAGGAGCACGAGCAAAGGTCAAGTCTGTACTCCTTTGTCCAGTTTGTTAATGTGTTGTGAAAACTGTTTCCTGTGAAGGTCGGGAGTACCTAGGCTTGAAGTTTCTGTATTATGTCACGAAGGACCCCCCTTTGTTGGTGGGTTTCCCAATTTCAGTAGTAAGACCACTTTTCCGATTTCCACACATCGGGTATTTGAAGAGTCAGAGTCAGGTTGAGTAGCTTGGTGAGGTAGCATGTTAATTCCATCAGGGCCAATGGATTTTGACAATTTTGCCTTGTTGGTGACACGTTGAACCTCCTGATCGGTGAAAGTAAGTGATGCACAGTCTTTCCGCATTTTGCACATCGGCTGGCAAGCGAGCGGCAGCTGTTGTGATCACTTTGCGGAATTGACGCTTGCCAGCGATTACGTCCGTAGGATTGGGTAAAGCGGTGAAGGTGCTCTTGGTAAGTTCTGTGAAGCCGACCCAATTAGCTTTGTTAAAGCTGTGAAGTTGCCACAAAAATAAAGTCGGGTGGCTTTTGCGGAATTGACGCTTGCCAGCGATTACGTCCGTAGGAATGGGTAAAGCGGTGGAGGTGCCCTTGGTAAGTTCTGTGAAGCCAACCCGATTAGCTTTGTTAAAGTTGTGAAGTTGTCCACAAAAATAAAGGTTTCTTGATTTGAAATACATACAATAAAAAATCTTTTTTTTATATAATAGAAATATTGTAAAATTCTGACTTTTTCAATTTATTGCGTTTTTTTTCAATAAAGCATAATAAACATGTTTACAAAGAACAATACCAAGTGGTATAATACATATACACTGATGGACAAAAGTTTTGGCATATGGGTATATGGGTCATATGGGTTTTGGTTTCTAGAGTTCTCCATAGATCCGTTAATATAAAAGAAAGGTTCAAATAATGTACTAGTCATTTACTCATCTTTATGCTATCTGTCACTGTGCTTAATTTCACTTATGTAATGCGAGCAGTTCTTTTGTTACAATAATTTACATAAAAAACGAATATATTTCTGTGGACAAAAGTTTTGGCACAGTTAGAATTCTCGGAAATAATTCTACTGATTTTGCTTAAAAAAGGAAAAAACTGACAACAACAAGTGACCACATGATACTGTACCAAATAATATAAACCGTTAACTTTTATAGTGAAATATAGTCTTGCGCAGCGTGCATTAATTACTACAATTCAGTAAAATGGGTCGGAGGCGAGCAGAAACGACAGCAGAGGAGCGAAAAATTATTTTAAATCTTCATTCCGCCCACAAAAGTTATGCAGATATTGGTGAAATAATGAAGTTAAGCCGTTTTACCATTCGAAGCATAATCAAGCGTTTTAAAGATGTTCGTTGTCTCCAGAGTTGAGAACGTTCGGGTCGCCCGCGCAAATTTAGTTCTAAAGAGGAGGCATATGTGGTACGTAAAATAAAAAAAAAAATCCCAAACTGACTTCAACAAAGATTACTGCTGACCTCAAGGAAGAATTAAATAAACATGTGCATCCGAAAACAGTGCGGCGAGTGCTGTCGTAACGGGTATAAATCCAGAATAGCTTGAAAAACCTCTTATCAGCAAAGCTAACAAAAAGAAGCGTTTAGAATTTGCTAAAGAGTATAAAAGCAGACCTATGGATTTCTGGGACAAAGTAATATTCACAGACGAAAGTAAATTTAACATTTTCCAAAGCGACGGTCGAATACGGGTATGGAGAAAGTCAAATACTGAATTTGACATAAGCAATGTTAGTAATACTGTAAAGCATGGAGGTGATGGAGTCATGGTTTGGGGATGTATGGCGGCGTCAGGCATTGGGAACTTAGTATTTGTTGATGGAGTAATGGACAAAACTGTATATATGAACATATTGAAAGAAAACTTGCAAGGAAGTGTAGAAAAGCTGAACCTCGGGAATCAGTTCTATTTTCAGCAAGATAATGATCCAAAACATACAGCTTATGATGTTCGTATGTGGATCATTCATCACGTTCCCCACGTTCTTGCAACTCCTCCTCAATTGCCGGACTTAAATCCGATTGAGCACTTATGGGATGAACTTGGACGAAGGGTWGAAAAGCACAACGTAACAAGTAAAAGCCAATTAAAAGAGGTACTGCAGTATGAATGGACTAACATTGGATCTGAGGTGACAAAAAAATTGGTTCACCCCATGCCAAATCGTTTAAATGAAGTTATTAAAATGAAAGGTTTAAATACTCGTTATTAAATTAGCATTTTGTTCTCATGTTTCAATACGTATTCAAAATGTGCCAAAACTTTTGTCCATTGAAATATATTCGCTTTTTATTTAAATTATTGTAACAAAACAACCACAGATATATCATATATGAAATTAAGTATAGTGATAGATAACATAAAGGTGAGTATATTACTAGTACATTATTTGAACCWACCTTTTAAATTTATGGAACTACAGAGCACTGAAGGAACCAACATCAGCTGTGCCAAAACTTTTGTCCGTCAGTGTAGTTAAAAAAAGCAAAATACTCTGTAAAATATTTTTGACCGCCTAAATTTGWAAAATCGATTTATGTATATGCTATGTGTGCTTTTCGTAAGAGGGTTACATAGGTTTGCCGGTTTAAAAAAAATCGATTTTTTGTCTTATTAAATTCTATAACACCTTTAGAATATTGTCATAAACTTTCAATCGGAATCATAGTTTCACAGATACAGTTTTGAGAACTTGTGCGCTAGGTTAGCTGGGCTAAGGTGCCCCATCTTTGAATGCGGTTTTCTCGAAACTGTGTTTTTGAAGTTGGTTGGCAAAATGAGAACTACTCAACCGATATTCATGAAATTTTACACAGGTCTTTGAAATACAATTCTAAAAGATTTGCACGAATGATTGTTTTCGATTGCAACTATTTGAAAAAATATGTGCCAAAAATCCAATTTTCAGTTTTTTCCTTCGTCTAAGTTCTAGGTTAATTTTTTTTTATTATGATTCAATCTCCAGCACAAACTTGGTTTTGTACAATACCCAGTCATATGCAGCAGTGTAATTCAAATAAATGTTCTAAATTTTTTGCAATTGGATAAATTGCTCTTCCCTCATGAATTGATTTCATATTTATATTTTTTTTTTTTACAGATTCATTGACTTGAATGATAGCAGAAGTGAACAAATTCAAAAACTGTTCAAGGTTAGTTTAAATCGCGACACACTGCTAATGTTTAATGAAGATTCCCGCAGACCACGAGCAAAGATTTCATTGCCTGAGATTCCGGTTCAAACATTAAATGACATTATTTCTTCAAATCAATATCTTTCATTACCGAGACTCTCATCACAACAAGTTATGGAAGGTAGGTACATATATGTTCGCTTCTTAAATTCTAGTTAGAGGGACTAATATAAAGGACAATTATTAAATAAGAAATACATTTATTCAGAACGAAGAGGCAAAAATATCGATGCCTGTACTATATACTAGTTATCTCTACATAAAGAAAGCGGATTTCAGTGTGTTTGTTTTGTGATGAACTCTACTGAGTTGAATTAGAGTTAAAATATTTGAACTGCGGATAAACCAAATCACAATTAAGTTCAGTCGAAGTTCCATTAATGTTGTTAATCTAAAAATAAAATATTTGACAATTAAATTCAATTATTGCTCACCAATATTTAACTGAACATTATTTTTGAGTTAAGCTATCTGGATTCACTCAAATCGTTTAAACTGCGTAACCTAAAATAATCCAAAGTTTTATTAACATCTATAAACTTTTAAATAACGTTTGCTGTATATTCATAAGATATTTTCGTTTAATTAAGAAAGCATTTTGTTTATTGCTAAATGAGATGAAGGAACAACGAAGTTTCTTTAAATACTGTGTGCGGAATTTCAGGTGCCGAAACGTTCAGAATTTTAGAAAATGTCTTCGGTGATAATTCTTTACCGCGAGAGTTAATGTCGACATTCTCGCATGAAGCAGCACCGCATAGCAACAAGCTATAACACCATGCGTATCACGCCACTTTGGTACTTTTCCATTGGCGTAACTATAAAACTACAGCCAATACTCTTATCTTATTGTAGCATTACTCATGTAAGTTCTTCTTAATTGAGTTTTTAAAATAAACTGAAACATAGAATCTTAAAAATACCCTAAGCTAGCTGTGGTTCAACGGCAGCGGAAGACTTTAACGGATGTTGAATGATCACCAGAATTGAAGTTGATTATTCTTGTTGATATTATTATTTATTGATCAGCAATAATGTCGATCTATTTTGGGAGTTGCAGCGGATGTTTGTTTATGTTATTCAACTTTACATGTTGAAATAAATATTTGTTGTATTAACTCTCCCTCCTCAAATTCCTACTTGAATCAAGTAGCTTTAAAAGAATGGTATATTATTAAATTGTGGTTGTACAGATTAAGGAAAATTGTTCGTTTGACTCATGATTTCTGTCGGAACTTAACTTAAGTGGTTAGTGATCTGTATAAATTTTTACTTTGGAACCACCATAAAGATAACCTTGAAAAGTCTTTACTGCCCAACATATGGCTAACATTTCTTTTTTTGCTATTTCATAGCCTTTTTCAGTTTTTGATACAGTTCTCGATATGAACGCGATTGGTTTGTCAAATTGAGAGAGTACTGCTCCTACTGCATGATCAGAGGCATCCGTAGTTAATGTAAATTCTTTATTGAAATCGGGTTATTGTAGTATTACGTCATCAGATATTAATGCATTTTTTAGCTGCTCAAATGCTTTCTTGGCCTCATTATCTAGATGTATTATTATATTTTTCTAGATGAAGCACTCTTTGATATGCGTCCCTCTTTTCCCCTAAGTAGTGTCGTTAATGATTTAGTTATTGCAGCATAGCCCATTATAAACCTTCTATAATATCCTGATAGTCCAAGGAATGATCTCAGTTCTTTAAGAGTTTTTGGACATGGATAGTTGGCTATGGCTTCTACCTTTGCCGGATTCGTTTCTATTCCTTTGTCTGAGATAACAAAAAYCCTAAAAATTCTACTTAATTTTTGAAAAACTCGCATTTGTCTAGTTGGCATTTAATATTGGCTTCATTTAGACTTTTGAATATAAGGTCAAGATTTTTTGTAAACTTTACCAAAGACAATAATATCGTCAATGTAAATATAACAAATATTACTTATGTGATCCCTTAGTATATCATCAACCCAAAGGGGAGTCTAGTGAATTCGTACTTTCCGTTATTCACGGAAATGCTCTTTTTCTATGTCAATGTCCTTCATGAGGATCTGATGGAACCCGCTCTTGATGTCTAATACAGAAAATATTTTATTGTTGCCTAATTGTGCAAGTACTCCGTTAATGTCTGGTATATCTCCGCTATTGTGACAATGTTTAATTTTGTATTTTTTTGTATTTGATGCATCTAATTTTTTGGGGACTATCCACACAGGTGAATTGTAGGGTGATCGGGAAGGTCGTATTATGTTGTTATCTAAAAGTTCTTTAATTTGCTTGTTGACTACGTCTTTCAAAGCCATGGGGTACTGATAGAATTTTGAGCATACTGGTGTGTCTGTACTTGTGCGTATTTCGGCTTTAATGTTAGTGGTATAGGTCAGTTTGTCATCGAGTTTAATATGGGTATAATTGCATTTAGTGATTAAAACTTTTTCTTTTTTAAAGGAATACTCATGCCGTTTCTAAGGAACAATTTACCTCTTTCGGTGTCAATAATTGCACCTAGTTCCTTCAAACTGTCATTTCCTAATATTCCGTAAAATGTTCTGAGCGTGGGTATTAAAAAGAATTTAACTATTGATTTTGGATCATTAAACAAATTAGCCATTTTGTAGTGGGCTATTTTTATTTTACCTCCTACGGATACCGCATTAAATGGGGTTTCATTCTGTAGAGGATTCTGTACAAATTTTGGTTTAATATAAATTCTATTGGATCCGGCATCAATCAGTATTTTAAGCATTTGCGCTTCTCACCTTACATTCGATGTACGGAAGTAAGGAGTTGCTGTTCGTGATCACTATTTTCAATACCTTCGGTATAGTCGCTAAGTGTTTCATAGTATTCTATCTGGTCTTCCTATTCTGAGAGAGTTTGTTGATAATCAGTCATAGTTTTTACTGGTTCTTCTGTGCCTGTTTGTTGGTAAGTATCTGTCTGAATATTAAAATTCCTTTGTCGTTTCGCTATCTCGGCTGTGGGAATGGGTAGTCTTTTACCTAAATCAAATTGTGGTCGGTTCATGTAGTTAATCTGCTTAGTTTGGATACATCTGTCAATGTCCATCGGTTCTGGTCGTGGTTGTGGTTTGGCAACCATAGGACAAGATGGTTGGTATAATGTTCGTTTTACGTTATGGTTCTGTGCGAATTGGTTACCTACATTTGTAAAATATGGCCTTTGTTGTGGTTGTTCGAAAAAATTATTTGATTGTCTGGGATTCATAGTTGGGTTTTGCGGWATGCTAATTCTAGGTGGAAGAAGTGGTCTAGCTTGAAAATATGAAAAGTGAGGTGTCGGAACCTGGCGTGGTTGATTTCTAAATATGTTTTGACGCATGATTGGTACGGTATGCTTGATTTTCCAACTTCAAACATAAATGCAATACAGTTGGTAAATCAGCAGGCTCCTTCATGCCGAGAAGACGTGAAAGCTCTCAAAGGTCAAGAACCTTATCCTTGTACAGCTTGGTCATTAATTGTTCTGATTCCCTGCCATACAGATTGATTCCATACAGCCTATCTTATTAAGGATCAACGATAAATGTTTATAGACGGTCTGATGGAATACTTCAATACTTCAACAGACCTTGTGCTATGGTGGTTATTTGGTACTCTAATGTGCCCAAGTCCCTTTTATCTGCACAGTGTAGGGTAAGGCATTTGGAGATGGCACTCCAATTTAAAGTTACATTGTACGATTCTAACGCAGTGTCTGCGTTACCAGTTATTTTATTGCGAATGGTATGCAAAATACCAAAGTACTTTGTCGTAACAACTGTGTGTTCGTACATTCCTAAAATTCTGTCTACACTTTTTTCCATGAGCCAAATTCGGCTGTGTCACCGGAAAACTTAAATTTTTACTATGTCTGGCATTTTGTCTAGTTCTCCTAAATTACCTAGGTGCTCTTGGTCAATTCCTTGACACTCTACATTGGTAAAATCAAATGTTTGACTTTGTGTTTGTTGTAATAAAATCGGTAATTGTTCATATAACATTTGCCGAATGGCATTTGTTAAGTCGCTAGGTTGRGTAATTTTTCTGTTCTTTTGAAACGTCGCTTATCTTTGTAACTGTCTTTGTCGTTGGTGGGGATTTTCTTCAATATCAATTACTGGAGGTCTCATTAAATTGTTTGGATTAGCCATCCGTTTTTTTCAAAATTTAATTTAAATTTATTATTATTGTTTTTGAAAACCAGTTGCTGGTTTTACCCTTTTATCCTGGAGGGTCCTTGGGTAGGAATCGCAGAATTGGGTTAAATTATACTACTTTTGCGTACAAAACTTCGAAGTTATTCGGAGTTATTATTTTTTTTATCGTTTTACGCCCTTTTAATTATTTGTAATTTTTTATGCACTTCGATTTCACAATTTAAATTAGTTAATTTCACTTTCACTTAGGTTCAATATGTTTATGAAATATTTATATAAAATTT